AAAATGCGATGGCTGCCACAGCCAGAGGCCCCCCCCCCCCCCCTTCGCCCCTTCGCCTTACCTGTCTTTTACCCCCCACGACACATCTTTATTCCCGTCCACGCCTTACCTAGACATTCGCCGAAGCGTACGACATGGCCATACACGCGTGCGAGTTCGGGGGCGAGTCCGAGAGAGCCTTGGCCTACGTTCGCACCATGGGGTCGGCGTCCGGTCTGAAGCCGGCGGCGAAGCAGTACGAGGCGGCCATCAAGGCCATGGTCTCCGCGAGGAGGTTCCGAGACGCCTACCAGTTGCTAGCCGAAGCGGTGGAGGTGAGAGGCCTTGCTTGCTTGCGCGCATCGGGGAGCAGGGGTCATTGCAGTAAGAACGGAGGGATTGAGGGACGCCTTCCTGTTGCTCACGGGGGCGGGAGTGTGCGTACTCATAGCCGTGCATGCCGTAGTGGTTAGGCCATTGACCTCGCACCCCTCCAAAGTCGCATCCCTCAAAAACCGGGACGCAGCACGCCCGGTTCTCACCGGGCCAACCTCTCACATCGCCAAGCGCGAAGCGCTGTGAGGCCTTGGGCGAGTCGTATGGACGGTGAGGCCCGCGCAAAGAGGGTTATTGGATTGCTAGGTTTTGGTTTTGGACGGAATATGGTGATGTACTGCTGTCTATATTTGGCTGGTGGTGAAGAGGAGCGCTGAATGGTATTTAGCCTGACGGGGCCGCCACTTCGTTTCTTGGTGGATGATTGCGGTATATATGCTGCTAGGATTTGTTCTGGTGATACTGCTGTTTACCTGTCCATTCGTCTCCGTATTATATATGGGTGTTCGTCTGCGATACCAACCGCCCATTCAATTTATCTCTTCGTGACGCGTTTTTTGTGGCTGGTTTGTCGCATGTTCTGTTTGCCGGGACTTTGGGAGTCTGTCGCGATACGAAATAGGTACACGACTGGTGCTGTTGTTCATTGGTGACTACTGCGCCCATCGTACACTTGCCGTTTGTTTCGTGTCTGCATGACACATTCGCGGCCCTGACGACGGGTTTTGCAGTCGGCGTGATGGCTTTGTCATGTGCTTCAACACACGCTACCAGCTGCAGAGCCCCCCGCAAGTTACTTGAAATATGTATGGATACCAGCGGCAGGCGAGGACCCCTTGCCTTGGAGAAGGAGGCCACATCCAACCCAACAGTTGCATCAAGTGCTCGACAACGGTGCCAAGCAGTAAACGTCTCTTTCTCTCTCTCTCCCACCTCGCCTCTTCTCTCCCGCGTGTCTCTCGCGGTACGTTGTCGTTGTTGTCATTATCTGCTCGTCAACAAACCTTTCCGGTCTTTGTTCGAAACCGCGAAAGCATGCGTACCGGTTCAACTGATACGTACGTTTATTTCCCGGTGACGAATGTATGCTTGCCCTGAGTCGTTTGCAACTTCTACAACCACTTAGGACCCCCGCTGTGTCCATGCTCTCGCTCTCTCTCTCTCTCTCTCTCTCTCTCTCTCTCTCTCTCTCTCTCTCTCTCTCTCTCTCTCTCTCTCTCGCTCTCTCTCTCTCTCGCTCTCACTCTCTCTCCCTCTCTCCCTCTCTCCCTCTCTCGCTCCTACGCTGTCCACACACCCCAGAACGGAGCGGAGACGGTCAGTGTGTACGACGAGGCCCTGAGGGCTTGTGCTTTGGAGGGCAACCCTTCCCAGGCGGAGACGTTGGTTCGTGTCATGCTGGACACCGGGTGTGATCCGGGTAGCAACGCGATGAGGTGTGACAACAACGGGTGGCCGTTGCTTTTGAACCATGTGACATTGCTCTTGGTTTTGAACTCTGCTAAGGCCGGTGACAACGACACTCGACTTGACAAAAATGCGTGTGGTTGATTAGTCTACCCAAGCTCTTTTGAGGTTGGCGGGGTTTCTGTAGAATCGGTCTGAGGTAACGCTTTCTATCAGAGTTCTTGAAAAGAACATGAAACACACCTTGTTGGAAGAAGGCGGTTCTATCGTCCTCCTAAATGGCACCGCTGGAGTCCCAAACAGTCGGATCGGTTGGAATTGTAGCAGGTATTTGCGTTTGGTCGGGTTCATTGGTCGATGCGCATCGTTGGAGTATTATGTACCAACACATCAGTTTTCTCTTGGGACAGAGTAAACGTACCAACGGCAACGCCGAACACCCCCCCCTTCCCTTCCCTTCCCTTCCCTTCCCTTCCCTTCCCTTCCCTTCCCCTCCCTTCCCATCCACGCACGTCCACAGCCAACTTCTCCTAGCCTTACGGGAACGCGGGAGACGTGGAAGGCATTCAGTCTGTCATGGCAAGAGCAGGAAACGAGGTGTTCACCGGCGGGGTGATGAACGCCCTGGTGTACGAGAGCGTGCTCAAGACGCTCGCCCCTCTAGAAGTCTGGCAAGACGCGGAGATGTTCGTGAAGGTGAGGGAAAGGGTGTTGGGGAAAGGGAGGCACGTGAGGGATCGTTAGCAGGACGATGTGGCCTTTTGAGAGGTTTACGGCTCGAGCCCAAGAGGTTACGGCTATTAGCCAGCCGTGTTGGTGTTCGGGAGGGTTGTGGCTTTGGGCGCACACCCCCGAGGGCGTTTCGCGAGTCTCGGGGCCATGATCTGGTGATTGTGGGGTTACGGCCGGGAGTCATGACGCTCGGGCGTTTGTCGTCGCGGGTGGCGGGGTCAAGGCGGGAGACTTCCAGTCTCCTCTCTGAGGCGTGGTCGGTCAGCTACAGACGGAGACCATTTTTGCCAGGATCCTGACTCTCTACACGTTTGCTCCGTGCGCCACGTTACGCCAATTCCAGAATACGTTCTTCTCGAATATGTAGATACAACATCCGCTTAAGAGACGCTTCCGCCCGTCGTTTGTGTGGAATTGGCGTTTGTTCCCGTTTGACAGGAGGGGGAGATGGTTCTGCCGGGAAGCCTGACCTACCGCACATACGGGTACCTGATGGTGGCCTACGCGGTGGAGAAGCAGTGGGGCGCTGTCGTCGAGCTGGCCCTGGTAAGAATAGCGGAGGATTGGAAGTGCACGGTCAACTACGTTAACCCTAGCCCTGAGCCTAGTCTTTAACAACCCCCGCTGTGAAGAAAAAAGCGGGGCACCGCGGTAGATCCGATGGTGGCGATGAGTCTTGACCTGCGGTATGTACCTGCAATGCTGTCTTGTTCCCGTGGCGTGTTTTTTTTTGTGTAGGAGCATTCAAGGAGGCTCGGACTCGGACGTGCACTGTAGAAGTCATGTAGAAGTCACGTATGCAGCCGCCGCTCTTGCTATGTACCGACACGCTCATGATATGATAGGCCCCGTTTGGTGGTGTGTATCTTGTCAGGCACCCACAAGGTAAATAGTCGCAAGATATGCATGTGCCCGCGGCTGTTCCCTAGCTGCGCTCACATCGGAAGGCAGCAAAGTCATCAGACGTCCTCGTTCGCAAGCTGCCGTTCGTGCAAGTGCAAGACAGTCAGCTCAAACGACGTAGCCCCCCCTCTACAGACCGTTCTCGGCAGACATGTGGCCTGCCACAACTCGCGGACTGTCAGTTCGAGGTCCGTGCGACAAATCCCGAACGGATACCGGAAACCGAACGCGTTCCCCATCCCCCGTTTGGAGGGACGCGACGCGAGGGGCGACAGTCTGAACCAGAGACGGACATACCGTAGATATCACACCCCGGTGATTTTGAAGTGTAATAGCCGTATCAGCGGGTGTGCTATCTTGCGTCACCGGTGTCACAAATGATCCCATTTATATTTATCTCTGACTTAAACAAATGTGACCGGGAGTACCTTCCTGGAAATAGTTTTTTGGGGTTTGTACTATATTCTGAAGCGCGTCCTCCTTATTGTACGGTACATACATGACAAGTACGAGTACCCCCCCCCCCCCCCCCCCCCCCCCCGCCCCTGAATCCCAACTG